CCCCGGAGACCATGCCACTCTCCTGCATACACACCATCGGGGCTTCATCAGTGGCTTTGGCTGCCACGGTAACCTCCCCAGCTGCCTCTTTGTCCACAGCCCACCCAGTCTCCGGGGTCCTCACGTCCCCCAGTGAGATGGGCAGTGCAGATGGGGAAACTGAGGCAAACGGTCTGATCTGCCCAGGGCCTCCGCTCACTGGGCTAAAGCCTGGGGATTGTCACTGGGCGGGCCTTTCAGTGCTGTGCTTGCCGTGAGAGAGCTTTTAGGGTAGAGGTGCCAGATGGGGTGTGTCCCAGTCTGGAAAAAACAATACACACTACACGCTCCTAGGTCAGGTCTAGTCCAGCGCTCACTCCTGCTCCTTCGACTTCGGGCAGGACTCCTGCGTTCTTGGGCCTGGACACCATGTGTATTTTTAGGCCTGTGTCCCGCCCAGGCATTTGCACTGTGCCTAATGTCCTCAGGGACCCACCCAGCTGCACACCCCGGAGCTGGCAGCATTTGGGAGGTCTCTGGAGCCGCCCCCTGCCTTGGCGCGGCGGCCTATTACCTGCAATCCACAGGATCGGGGTGCAGCTCCCCTTTCTAAGAGGGGATCAGCTTCTTTACGCTAAGAATGCACCCCCACCCCTAACACAAACACAGGCTTGTGGCTCCGAAACCAGAAAGTGTCAGGTAGAGGATCTGTGCACCACCCTGTGACCTTGGGTAAGTCACATCTGTGACCTCTATTCTGAAAAGTGGTGGAAGGAGGCCTATAACGGGTAGTTCTCAATCTTGGCTGCACAGTGGGATCACCAGGCCAGCTGATCTGAAGTGGCCAGGAGACCCCAGTCGGTGCATACTGCTGACAGGCGCACCCCGCTATGTGGGAGGACAGGATGAGAACCTGATCTTCCTTCCTAGGGGCAGACGTGCCCATCCACGGCACCTCTCTTCCTGGGCCGTTCTAACTGCAGCTTTGTTACCGGTCCTCCTTGTCGGCGCTGTCTCCGAGGAGGCAGGCAACTCCGAGGTGTGCAGCTAAGTCCTGGCAGACACACCTTAAGCCTTTTCCTGATCTGCTTCCCCGGAGCTCCGTTCCCTCAAACCCACCTCTGTTCTCTCACTGGATGTTGCCGGGGTCTGGCAGCACCAGTGTGGTGCTCTGCAGAGAGGTTGGTTGGGACCTCTCCAGGCCTGCCCTGCAAGTACCTCTTCTCTGTGCTCGGTCGGCCTCCTCGGCAAAAGTCAAAATTACCTCCCGCATGGCGCGTAAGTTGTTCTGATCAGTTTTCAGCTCTGAACAAGTACACACGTACATATATACGCGAGACGATCGCTTCACAAATAAAGCCTCACCTCACTGTGTAGGATACTTCCTGATATTTCCAAGCTTAGTATATTTTATTTTTATACAACGCAGGTCACCACCCACGGAATTCTTTTCAGGACCTAGCACTGGCGGAGTGACAAACTTGCGCACACGCATGTTAACTGCTCATTGTGCTGGGTGCTGCGCGGGGAGAGAAGGGCGCAGCGAAGTAAACGGGGTGGGGGGCCCTACTCCATTATTGCCCTCCAAGGCTTCTGCCGGCCTAACAGCTGGGGAGGGCGCGGGGGGCGAGCGGGGAGGGCCAGGCCAGGTGCGGCCTGGGGACCTGCCAGCCACCAGGCGCCGCAGGTCTGGGAAGGGATGAGTTTAAGGAGTGTCTCAGCGCGTTATATTTAGGCTGGCCCGCCGGAAGCGCTCGATTCCGGTGCCACTGCGGTTTACCGTTGTCCTCCCCGAGCGAGCGCAACAGCCCGGGCGCCCGGCCACACGAGGGGCCGGCTCTCCCCCTGCTTCCCCCGGGGCCCACCGGGCGCCCTCGGGACGCCGCGCGGGCCGACTCCGGGTCGTGAGAGGTGCAGCGGGGAAATGCACCAGGCCGAGGGCCGCAGGGCGCACGGCTGCCCTACCACCCTCAAACCCACACCGGGGAGACGCCGTGCGGACCCCGCTTTCGCCCACGGGAATACTCAAGCTGGCCCCGCCCCGCGGTCTGCACGCGACCGCCCCGTCCGCGCACGCGCGCCGCCGCGCTCGATTCCCACCCCTCCCACCACCCGCGCCGTCTCTTGCTCCCTTGCCTCGCGCAGGGCCCGCCGGGAGCAGGAGGAGCGGTGCCGCCGTGTTGCGCAGGCGCAGGGCACGGGCCCGCCCCAGGGCTGGCGGCGCGGCCATCTTTAAAGGGAGGCCGGCGCGGTGGGCCAATGGGAGGTGCGGGGGCGGAGCACCGCGCGGGGACCCGGATGTGGCTGCTGCGCCCCTTCTTCCCGCGCCCCTCAGAGCCCAGTGGCGCCCCTCTTGGCC